GTTTCCATGGTAACTCGACCAGCTGACTTACGAGGTTTATGTGATATTACACATTTTTATAAAACTGAAGCGTAATTTTTTTTATTACGTGCTAGTAATTATGTGTCAGTATCTGTTATGATGCATTTACTTAGCATCCAAATAGTAGGTAATATACAATTTACTAATAAGAGAGTAGAAAATAGTATATTACATAACGAGAGTTGTAAGAAGCTTATTACATGCGAGTAAAAAAGTTGCGCGCGAGCTGCGTAGCGGCGAGCGCAGTAATTTTACAAGCATGTAATAAGCTTACAACTCAAGTTGTGTACTATACTTTTTCTACGCTTATTTTCGTTTATAAAAATAAAAATTAAATTACCATTATATTTACACTGACAGATTAATAATTTTTAATCTGTCTAAATAACGTCTATTAATTCGTTTCTATGGTAACTCGACCAGCTGACTTACGAGGCTTATGTGATATTACACATTTTTTATAAAACTGAAGCGTAATTTTTTTTTTCTACTCTCTTACTAGTAAATTGTATATTACCTACTATTTGGATGCTAAGTAAATACATCATAACAGATACTGACACGTAATGACTAGCACGTAATAAAAAAAATTACGCTTCAGTTCTATAAAAATGTGTAATATCACATACGCCTTGTAAGTCAGTTGGTCGAGTTACCATGGAAACGAATTAACAGGCGTTGTTTTGACAGGTTAAAAATTATTAATCTGTCAGTGTAAATATAGTGGTAATTTAATTTTTATTTTTATAAACAAAAATAATGGTAGAAAAAGTATAGTACACAACTTGAGTTGTAAGCTTATTACATGCTTGTAAAATTACTGCGCTCGCCGCTACGCGGCTCGCGCGCAACTTTTTTACTCGCATGTAATAAGCTTCTTACAACTCTCGTTATGTAATATACTATTATTACGTGATAGTCATTACGTGTCAGTATCTGTTATGATGCATTTACTGATCATCCAAATATTAGGTAATATACAATTTACTAGTAAGAGAGTAGAAAAAAATATTTACATACACTACATTCACATATTAACAAAACTTAATCATTTCTAAATAGAGTACAAAAAGAACATGCAAACATATTTTACAAAAACTAAATTCAATTAGACGAACTACAGATGCATTCAGGGTAATGGAAACATTACTTCTCCTTACCGATGCTTTTAGCTCATGCCTTATGTGTTCAATTGAATTGAACATGCAATAGTAAGAAAAAAGTTTTAATACTGTATTACCCATTTCTTTCGCCAAACTGTCGCAATAATATTGTTTTCTGATGGAAAATGATTTTAAGTTTGTTTTTTTAAATAATTATATTCATAATATGTATATAATATATATATATATATATATTTATATATATATATATATAATATATATATATATATATATATTATATTATATATATAATATATATATATATATATATATATATATATATATATATATATATATTATTTTTTAGCATATATTCCTGTTTGGTGTCTTTAGAACATGGAACTTTATTCGGTCAATGACTGTGGTAGCTGGCATTATCCATCACAATAACACTGTTTGGTGGTATATTTGGCAATAACTTCGTTGAAAACCAGTCCTCAAATAATTCTGACGTAGTGACATCATGTTAGTCGAGTTCTTAATGTTTCTGCATGACAAGGCCAAAGTATTCGGTATCAAACCATTTATTTCCTGCGTTGATTATTGTAATACGTTTTCCTTTATTTGATAGCGGTAACCTTAACACGAAGACCAATGAACACAGTGTGATCCATAACAAAACAACCGATAGTAAGTAGAATAAAAAGAAAAGATGTTTGGAAAACTAGACCACAGTGATATGAAGATCATTAGAAGACAAATTTATAACATGTGCTTTACACATCAGTTCATTAATGGTCCCAACGTTAAAAACCATCATGCAAATGTTTACATCAAGACCCTTTATCTTTAGCGTAGTATTGACAGTTAATTATTAAAGGAGTTGTTCTTAAAATATTATTAACTAAACTTAAATTTTTAATATTTAACAAAATTCTTTTTAAATTTCTTATTTTTTACAAATAAAGACAGGTGAATTAAAAGAAAGGGCTAAAATTAAGGGTTATAGGTTTATGGGTCGTAGGGAATTATGTTTTATTTTAAATTCGTGTAAGAATGCCAGCATGACCAATAAAAAAATTAACTCTCTACTATTATCGTTTCTGAGTTATTTTAATTGTTTATGAGCTTAAAATCACAGTACTTTTGCAAAACTCATTTACAATATTTCACATAAATTTTTTAATTTTTAATTATTTAATTGAATAAAATAAACGTTTTCTTCAATTGGATGCTTTCGGAATTCATGTAGGTCCTATAGATTATACATAATATGTTTTCGATTAAAGCTTTTTCAGATAAACAATTCCAATTTTGCAATAACTGTTAAGTTAAACTCTTTAAAATCCACGTAAAATCAAATGTTCTGTTTTGTATTTTTGAAATTTTGAACATTTGTGAAGTTATATTTCTATACGCGCGTTTGACGTTGCAAATTTGAACGGGAGTGAATAGGTAAAATCATTACATATGTAAGATAGAGGTAAGAGAGAGACAGAAGATATATTTTGTCTTTCTTTCTCGTTCGAGAATAAAAATGTTCTTTTAGTAAATATATTTAATATTTAATACTATAATTATTTTTCTATTCTGTTCAGATTTGTCTTGAGCCTCGTTAGGCATATTAAATTATAAAATAAAACTTGTAAATATCTCAAAAAAATTCAAATGTGTACATATATACACAACAAATAACAATTAAATCGTGTATCTGTCAAGACAAATTGACAGTATCACGAAACAATATTTTTATTTTATTAATAATATTATCATGGTAAATTAAACATATACGCAAGTAAGTTATGTATATTTTCATTTTTAAATACTTATGAATATTGCATTTTAATTTGTATTTTATTATTATATTGAATTATGTTGCTGTGTATTGTATTGTATTTTTATATTTATAACAAAAAAAAACAAAAATATACATTTTTATATGCATATGAAAACAAAAATATACATTTTTATGAAAATATGGATTCAATTCTTCATTTCCTATACTTATATTACAGGGCAAATGTTGTTTATATACAGCAAACGATGCACCAAATACCTATATACCTAATTTTTTTCTGTTTCTGCTCTCCCTTACTTATAACATTCCATATGTAATGATTGTGCAGATTGACTCCCATATAAATTTGTATGGGCGAACGCATGTATAGAAGTATAACTTCTACCGACAGTCCCACTGGACTGCCACACCCGTTTTTTATATACTTTTTCACCAAAATAAATTATTTAAAATAAATAGCATCTTACATTGTTTATACATTGTTTATAAGTAAAAAATGACGTTTATTATTTTGCATATTTTTTATTACATACTGTTATTAATAAATTTATCAAAAAAAGTTAGTTTTAGAAGATACCTATATTAACGAGTATCATGGGAAAATCGTTCGTTTTCTGATCTAGAAACGTAAAAGAGAAAGCAATCTGATTGTAACATATTCCAGTAAAATTTAGTATTAGTATTTTACTAATAACTTTCTCATTACTAATCAAAAACAGTCTTAAAACTTTAAAAAACTTAATTTGATACTCTTCGCTTCCTATCATATTAAAAACATAATAAAAAACATAAGAGCAACCTGTGAAACTTAACGAAGTCTGAGGAAATTGCCGAAAAAAAATCTTGTTATGGATACAAATAGTATAGAAGAGGAAAATGAATCTTTTAAAATCTACAATCTATCATCATCATCAATGGTGCTACAGCCCTATGAAAGAGCCTTGACCTTCCCAAGTCTATTACTCCAGGCAGTCCTATCCATTGCCAACTGTTGCCAGTTTGCTGCGCCTATCTTTCTACCATCCTTATCTACACCATCCTTCCATCTGAATTTTGGCCTACCCCTTTTTCTACTTCCCACGGGTTGTGACATAAGGATTCTTCTAGGAGGGTTGTTCTGCTGTGATCTTATTAGATGTCCTCCCCATATTAGTCTTCCTATTCTTATAAGAGATACTACGTCTTTACCACCAAATATTTGTTTATATCTGTGGTATACCTCGTAGTTGTATCTCCTCCTCCAAACACCATTTTCACAGATGCCACCAAATATTCCTCTCAGGATCCTTCGTTTAAATATAAGCAGAAGGTCTGCCTTGGAGATGGTCCATGTCTCCGATCCATATGTCAACACTGACTGTATAAGGGTTTTGTATATAGTTATTTTTGTTTTTTGGCTTAAGTTTGTACTTCTCGTATGTCTACTAAGTCCAAAATAGCATATGTTTGCCATTATTATCCTTCGCTTGATTTCTTCCGTTATGGCGTTCTCTTTGCTGATCAGGGAGCCTAAGTATGTGAATTTGTCCACTACTTCAAAGGTAGAGTTATCAACCGTGAATTGGGGACCGATGTTCCTGACTCTATTGTTGGGTGTTGATGCCATCATCTTAGTTTTTTCCTCATTTACTTGCAGACCCATAGATTTTGAGGCATTTGAGAAGGTGGTATACATCTACAATCTATAAAGTTTCAAAAATGAACAAGATTTTTAGAAAATAATGATAAAAAAAATTGTGATATTTATACTAACCTGTTTAAACAACATAGTTCTTTATTTTTGTTGAAAATAAGTAACAGTTTTATTTTAAAATAAATTTGACGTTTTGATTTACACTTTGGAAATCAAAATATTAAAATAAACTTATTTGAAAGTAAAATTGTGGCTTATTGCTAATAAAAATTATCAGCTTGATTAAGATGCTAGAAGAGAATAGCTTCAGAATGATAAAAACATAATTTAATCACCGAAAATTCAATGTAAACTTATTTAAACTAATATTGCATAATGCATGTATATGGACGGAATAAAAACTATTTTGCTAAACAAACATTAATTTTAAGGCTTGAAAGCTTACCACAATCCTTAATATTGCCACTATTTGCTAAACATAATGATATACCTAAAACTAAAATTAAATACACCACACTTATCACTACTTTTTTTGATCCCATTTTGAAGAGCAAATATGCAAGACCATTCAACCAATTAACGACTTAGCTAATGAGAGTAAATCGTCGACGATTTACTGCATTTAGCTTCGCATTAGATTTTTTGCTGATTGTTAAATTGTGTTTATAATTATTCCGGAATAGTACTTATCGATAAGGTATGTGATACACTGTCAGCTGAAACATTTATGATATATTTTCTTTTTTTTACGATAATATGCAATTATCCTTATTGTTATCAGCGTTTTTTATAGTTTTTTGTGTTTTGTACTTTTAGTAAATATACTTTCAAAAAGACTTATTTTTAGAGAATTTTTTTTATTTTCTACAACAATGTACTCCAGATTTTGAGGCCGCTTCCGCATCATCATCTTGGCGCTACAGCCCTTAGAGGGCCTCGACCTTTCCAAGCTTTGTACGCCATTCTGTTCTGTCCCTTGCTTACATTTTCCAGTTGTCGACTTGGCATCCTGTGTTACCCCGTCCATCCACCTCAGCTTTGATCTACCCCGTCTTCCCATTCCCACGGGTTGTGCGGTTATAATCTTTTTTATCATATTCGATTCAGGGGCCCGAGCTACATGTCCTGCCCACTGCAGGCAGTTTCGCTTAATTATAGTGGTAACATCTTCTGGTTGCAAATATACCACCAAACGTATGCTTGTAGATATTCTGCAGTTAAAAATTATATCTACGCCTCCATATTCCGTTCTCACAGACAGCTCCGAATATCTTGCGTAGCATCTTTCTTTCAAAAATCGATAGATCGGATTCATCTGTTTTAGTTAGTGTCCATGCCTCTGATCCATATATGAGAACAAGGACCATCAGTGTTCTATACAGCCTTAAACGAGTTTTTTGAGACAGACGTTTGTTAACTAAGTACTTTGATAGACCATGATAACACCTGTTTGCAATTATTATTCGCCTTTTTATTTCCTCAGATGTGTTATTATTGGGGTTAACCGATCTCCCTAGATATATAAACTCTTTGACTGCTTCGAAGTTTTGGTCATTGATGATTAAATCTGCGTCAACATTTCCAGCTCTTGTATTTATGATAGTCGCCATGAATTTGGTTTTATTTTGATTTATATGTAACCTCATTCGTTCTGCTGCTACTACTAGCTCGGTTAGGATATCTGCAGTTCTCGACCTGGTTCTTGTTATAATGTCCACGTCGTCTGAATACGCTAGAATTTGGACAGATCTATTAAATATTGTTCCCCTGCTAAATCAAGATCTAAATTAGCGTCTCGTACAACTTTTTCTAAGGCGACATTGAAAAGCTGACACGCCAGCGCATCTCCCTGCCTTAACCCCCTGTGTATTTTAAATGGGGCTCACGAGTCGTTTTGAATTTTTACTGCTAGGATTGCATTTCTACAAATGTGTTGGTGTAAGTAACAATTTTAATGTTTGGAGAGAAGAAGCATTCCCAAATTCCTGAATCTTTAATTTTATGCCTTATATCTCCATTAGGTCCAGGTAAATAATAAACAGAATAAATAAACAAAAAATAAAAGTCGATAGTTCGTAGCTATAACAACAAAGATTTTTTTAATACTCACTAATTAGTTTTTTATTTTGAGACATCTTAAAAAAAGATATTACAAAAAACAAAAAAAAATATAAAAAGTCTAACAAAAAGCCGGCGAAACTTACCAAAAAAAATTGGTGTGGCAGTGAAATGGGACTGCCGCATGCCGGTAGAAGTTATACTTCTATATATGCGTTCGCCGTTACAATTTTATATGAGAGTCACTCTGCACAATCATTACATATCGACCGTTAATTACCAATACCTAGCTTTCATCTAACGACAGGTAAATTTTGCATGAGAAGCAAAAAACTTATTTAATTTTGCTCTGCCAATCAGAATTATTTTGATATATGGACTTTCTACTTTTTTATGTATAAGATTATCGTACGTATTTGATTTTGAAAGAGATTTTAAAAAAGACAGTTTTTCAGTTAGGAGGTATTGTTTTTCTCTGTTACTTGAAATATATGTGTTTAATGGAAGATGGAAGGTCTTAAATGTAATTAAAAAATTAATTTATACTCAAAAAACTTTATTATTATAAATGATACCAACACATTAAGACTTCTGAGATAGCGAGTCATAGAATGTATGACAGTCTTGCGGTAACATAGTTTTCAATTGTAAATGAGAGTATATCGTAGACCTAATAAGTAGTACTTTGTTATGCAAGGGAGTTTAAATCGGTTCAGGGAAAATTTAAGGTCTTATGGGCAACTAGCTCCATTTATTATCAAAGTTTCGTTTATATTGTATTTTTCCATCTATGGTATACAGTAAAGCCCTCAGGATCTCCTACTTGACGATCTGGCCTAATGTGTATCGCCATTCTCCCCCATGTCTCACTTAAAAAACTGATAGTCAACCAATTTCACTTCATACGAAAATAACTTACTTTTTGCTTCCTTAGTAGCAGAAACATAATCGCTTGGAGGATGAATCTCACGATGCTTCAATGTAGTCTCGACAGCACTGTGGACCGAGTCACACTCAATTTGAGTGTGATCTGGTTCTAAAAACTTTTGGGTTATAACTATTTAATAGTTTACAGAAATGGCAGGTAATGCGTTAGACATAATGTTATTCCGATTTTGGTATGTTCAACCATCTGAAAATATTACTATAGGTAACCTGTTTACGAGACAGTGTTGTGACAAGTAATCTAAAAGGAAGTTGTGCTTGCTGTCAAGTCACTGGCAGTTTCGTCAAACCAATAGCAGGTTGCATGATGAGTGACTAAATTGTAGACCGTATAGTTGTGACAACCTAACTTGATTTTAAAGTAGGGTGTACTTGCAGTCAGATAAGGACACACTTTGACAGCTTCAAGATTCATTGTAATAAGATTAAATTCAGCAGCTTGTTCTTTTTTCTTGTCATGTTCTTTCTCCGCTCTTGCTCTTGATTTATGATAAATAAATATTATCTTTATATTTTTTGTCTGAAATATTTCCTTCTTTATAATTTACACAGATGTCACACATATCCTTTTTTAAGGTATAAATAGAGAAATATTCGTAAGAAGGTCCTGAAATGTTATGTGTGGTCGATCCTATTGTATGGTTGTGAGACATGGACGTTAAAAACCACAATGCTAAACAAGTTAGAAGCATTCGAATTGCGGTGCTACAGACGAATCCTAAAGATATCGTGGGTTTCGCACACTTCCAATGAAGATGTTCTTCAAATGATCAATTCAGAACGTCTGCTGATAAACACCTACATAAGAGGAGAAAAACAGAATACTTTGGCCATATAATTAGAGGACCTAAATACCATTTACTTCGCCTTATAATACAAGGAAAAGTGAAAGGAAAGAGATGGATTGGTCGAAAGAAACTTTCATGGCTGCGTAATATTAGACAATGGTGAGACCATTAGGCTGGGTAGACAGAGAAAGGTTTCAGGAAATTGTAAACATGATGACAGCCAACGTCTGAATACGGACACGGCACCCAAAGAAGAAGAAGATAAATGGAGAGATATAAATCATTAAATATCTTGTCAGTCAAAAGTATGTCTGCTTGCACTCTCTTCGTTATTATTTGAGCACCATCTAATATAGGAATTATAGAGTTCTGTTTTATTTCGGCAGTATTTCTCGATGAATAATTTTCTCTGAAGTGTTAGGATGTTTTAAAAAAATTCACGTAGCATCTGGATTCTTTTCGCCGTTCGTCTTGGCACAACTTGTTTTCGATTGCCATTGGTGACTTCATTACATGGAAGTGTTTTATGAACTGACTTCTTGACTTAAGATTGTACAGTAAAAGAACCTATGGAAAACCTAGGGTTGTAGAGGTTTTCCTCTTTCGGGTTTGTATAACCTGAGTAATCTTTGCCAAGCATTCTTAACTATTTGTTACGATTTTTTCCCAAGTCTTACTATCTGATTTAATTTTTCTTTTTCGTTCTTCATTGATTTCTCCGAAATAAACCTGTGTTGGCACCAGTTCAGAATCCGGCACATTATCTTTTTAGAGACTCTATCTTCGCTCTCAGTCTCCGATAAATCACACTCTGGGTTATACAAACTTTCACTGGGTGAAAAATCGTAAGCTGAAGAAGTACTTGAAGTCGATGCTCTCTCTGTAATTAAGTTTTCAGTATAAAGTTCCTCATGTAACTGTTGGAAGTGGGAGTCTTCTGAATTGTTAGAGGAGAATACATTACCTTCTTGATTTTCAGACAAGGCAAGACTACCGACTTTTTGGCTTGTACTTATAGGATGAGTAATACTTTCATTTGTCTCCGGAGTGTAGGAACTTCCATCTGGTAACAGTAGTCTTCGATGTTATCGTTTCTAGAATTGAATTTACACACTGTTCGTCTTGGCTCAGATTTTTAGATTGTGATCCTGTGGGCTCACAGGTAATCTTCGGAAATAATAACACTAATAGTAGACTAGTGCAGGCATAAAGAGTGTTTTTATCTATAGGTAATATGGCTTTGAGACTTCTACCGGCAGTCCCATTTTCACCAGACCCAATTTTTTTTGGTAAGTTTCGCCGGTTTTTTGTTAGACTTTTTATATTTTTTTTTTGTTTTTTGTGATATCTTTTTTTTAAGATGTGTCAAAATAAAAAACTAATTAGTGAGTATTAAAAAAAATCTTTGTTGTTATAGCTACGAACTATCCACTTGTATTTCTTGTTTATTTATTCTGTTTACCATTTACCTGGACCTAATGGAGATATAAAGCATAAAATTAAAGATTCAGGAATTTGGGAATGCTTCTTCTCTTCAAACATTAAAATTGTTACTTACACCAACACATTTGTAGAAATGCAATCCTATGACATTTCGCAAAATCGTTCTTTTAGACCAACTGATTTATTAGAACTAAAAGCATTATTGGAACTTTTATATATTTATGGCACTAGTAAAAAATCGGAGAAACGCTAAAGATTTATTTAGGACAGACGGAATGGCTATGGACATATTCAGACTTACTTTGTCCCGGGTACGAGTATTGCGCAAGAAAGAATACAAGTCGGCAAATTAACTCCAATTAGGGAAATTTACGATGAGTAATGATGTATCCCATTTGTTCCAACATTACAATATGTCAACATATACGGGGATTGACGAAAAACTCGAAGCATTTCAAGGTCAAAATTTATATGCCTAAAA